ATAAGGGACGATGGAGGCTGCAATAAGACGTTTAAATAGGGTGCAGACCCTCAAATTTAGGGTTTCACCCAAACATCACCTACTCGCTGAGTCAGTCCTCGACTCGTCGAGTAGGTCACTTAAACTTCCCGCGGATCCCGTCTCTACTCGACAAGTTAGGCCATCAACTCGTCGAGTCCCAGAGAAAATACATAAAATTCATAAATAAAATACATACCAGCAATCCGGTGTTACAGAGAGGCTAATGAGATATGTGTGGTATTTTGGGAAACTCACTAAGCTTCGTGCTTACCGTGTTATGTGATATGTGTTTCAGGTACTTCTCAGGATCGCGGGAAGGCGCCGACTTGATTGTACACACACTTGAGATGGAGTTTATATTTTGTGGATCCTGGATTGTGTTTAAACAATTATTGAACATGTGTTTTTGATAACTCGATATTTGGGGATTTTTATGGTTGTGTTAATGAAATTGATTTGATTTTAAATGAAAATTTTGTTTGGAAATTCACGGTGTTACAGTTAGGTTCCATCACACCCACAAGATGCTCTATGTGAGCTATATTTGTTTCTAAAAGCTTTATGAGCTATGATCATTTCCTAAGCTATAGGCTATGTTGTTGTGTACACTGAGACCGGTTGTCTTAGTCAAAATCCTATGCACTATAACCGTTAATCCGGGAGGGATTTATAGTGTAACTCTAAGCATACAACATAGATTTATAATAATGAACTTTGGTGTAAATCTATAACAAATGGTATAGATTTATGCGGGTCGATATTCTCCTCCTGTGGTTGCTAGCTACAACTTCGTATGACGAGACTGAACTAGCGTCAAGTGTTCTTTCTTTGTTACTACATGACTTTTAATACGTTAGTAATGATTCCAGATACCTCCATTTCTTGTGCCCTTCCGGGGCAGGAACGTCTATAGTGTCGGTTGTAGGCTCACCTCAGATCACAAACCTGTTTTGTTACCGTATAAAATTTGCATTAGGTTACGGGGTTTATGTTCACTTATACTAGTTGGAAGAGATTGTATTTAGTAGGATAGTTTGTGACTCAAAACGATAAGTATCAATACCAGAAATTAAGTCATATAACACTTAATTAACAACATGACACAATTAATTAAGGTTTATTAACTTAAATTTAATAAGCTAGTTATATAAACCCTTTGTTTTTATACGAAAACACAATATTTATGTGGGACGAGTTGTCACTGGTTAAGTGTCGATTTCCAAATTAAGTAAGATAACACTTAATTAATACCACGACACGAATTTACAAAGTTTATAAATTCGAAACTTATGAATTTTACATATAAACTATACAAATGCTTGTACAATAGTAAATTTGGCTATTTTATGTTTTCACAAAGTGTGATATGACTTTATTTTATATAAATTGATATTCAAAATCCTTATATAAAAACATTTTGGTCATGGGAACCGTAAAATTTGATATAAGTTTGATTTACTTATATATTTATCAAATGGTGTATTTTTGGATTTGAGAAAACAATATTTTTAAATGAGTCTAAATACACTTTTATAACTCAATTATTTTATACTTTTGATAGAAAATACGTATTTATAAAAGTTGGTCAATTAACCAAATAATTTTTATAAAACACTTTTGAGTATAAAAATACTTTGTGTCAAAACCTGTAGAATTCACCAACAATGTTGTTGACGTATCTTAATGCATGTATTCTCAGGTTATTTAGAAGGTCGGAAGTGTTCGTACAGAAGACCCTCCGTTATTTTTATCATACATTTGTAAACGTTGGATTGTTAGGCGTGTGTCGCGATTTAGCAATAGTTATTGTCAATGTAATTTCTATTTCGGTAATAATAGAAGATTTTATTTGTACTTCTTCAAAACACACATATAATTATGAACATAGATACTCAAGAAAAACACACATCAGGTTTTCTAAACACACACACTTATGAACATACACACTCAAAACGACACACATCAGGGGTTTTCCAGATCTACGCTAAGACTTTTCCGACTGCCACCATTGTCCGCCACCACCACCTGTAACCACTTTCATCTCCATCTAGAAATCATTGGAACCCACCTGGGTCGAGGGTTTTAAATCAGATGAGTTTTCTAGATTTCCAATCGAATATCAGATGGTTTAATTAATCAATTTATGTAAACAAGTTAAAGATCTATATATGGGTCGATTTATAGGTGAATGTGTGTGTGTGTGTTTTCGATCGCATCTCTCAAGGATTCTCTTCTTCTCATTCGATTTTGAACATTGAGCTGTGGCGACGAAGGTGTGTAGATGAAGATGTGGGTTTTTATGTGCGTAGGCAACCCTCCCCCTCTTCCTTGAATCCTCTCTTCGAATATGATTTTACAGATCTTGAGAAGATGATAACATGCCTGATTCTTCCTCCTTCCTCAGATCTGCAGATCTACAGGTGTGAGGTGATAAACAAACGAGATTTTTGAGGACGAACAAGGAAATGAACAAAACCATTTTTTTACCTAAATCCATCGTCATTCCTTTCATAATTCTCGCAAGTCAAATGCATTTGGCACAAGACCTGCAAGAAAACTCCCGTGGCTTTCTTTTAGATTTGGTCTCTAGAGAACAAAAGTGGAAGAGTAAGATCTAGTGAGGAGAGTAAGGATGGTTAGAGGGTTCTATGGGGTTGAGAGAGAGAGAGAGAGAGAGAGAGAGAGAGAGAGAGAGAGAGAGAGA